TGACAACAGCAGCAGAAAATGCAATTTTTCCGATATGGTTTGCCATCGCACCACACTGCGTATGTGTTATGTCACCTGACTTATGAACTTTGAGTGGCAAATAAAAAATCTTTTAGCTATGGGTGTCCAGAATTAATGTAGCATGATCATTAAAAAAATGCATATATGCCGATATTAATTTCAAAAATATGGAATTTAAATTTTTTTTACATGTTTTCATGATTTCCTTTCGAACCTGGCTTGTTTACCTTTTCTAATTTTTGTTCACACAATTTGGACAAACTTTGGGTAATTGTACTTCTAATTGCTTTATTACAGCTTTAATTGCTCGTTCTAAAAGCGCTCGCTGTTAATTTACAGCTGTTACTTAGCAGCAGAGGGTGCGAGCGAGGTAGCTGCCCCGGGTTAAACAGAGAGGGAAAGAGTCACTTAGTCGAGGCGATTGCTTGGCTTGTTTTTGTGATGTTTCCTTTGTTTTGTTTTGATTTGCTTTACCTCCGACTGTTTGTCTATGTTTTTTTCCTCTCTATTTCCCTGCCTTCGTTGTCATTGCCCCGTTTTCTCTCGGTTTTCCACTCGGATCCCGAAACACCGAGAAAGACCCTTTGTAAATTTTAATGGCAAATCTGCTGCCATTTGCGGCACATTTCGCGTACAATTTTCATTTTTGTTATGCCCACATATTTATTTTCATGGCTTGTCCTAGGTGGTTGGGCGCTTTGGGGGGGATGGCGGGTAGGCCCAGCGACCGCTTTTCTTATACACACGCAGAAATAGTAGCAGTTTTTGAAATACGAAAATCCTAAACAGTCCTTGAAGTATGCAACAATAAATTATAGCCCGAGAAATACAGTTAATAATCTAAAGCGCACTTTTCAACGCACGTTCTGGGGCTAACCCGAAATCCAATTTTTCCAATTAGTCGTGTACCTAATGATTGAAAAAATATAATTTTAAAATGTTATCTGTTATTTAAAGTGCACTCTCTGGTTTTGTCCAGTGCATACCACATTGCTAAAGGGGCGCACTTTACATTTGTTGTTTATTTTGGCGTGAGCGTTGCCAGCCACGAGAGCATAGAAGACATGGCCACTGCGAGTGAGGAAGGGGCGAGAGCGCCAGCGAGTGAGTGTGTGAGCAAAGTGGGGAGCCGGCAAGAGAAAAGGAGAGAGAGTGAGTGAATGTCGATGGCTCTCCTTATTGTTGCTGCTTTTGCTGCCGCTGTTGCTGGCATGCCATTTCCCGTTATCAGTGGCAGACTTTCTGCCAACCTGCTGTCGCACGCTGTAAGCGTCGGCGCTGGCGTCGCCGTCGGCATCACTGTCTCAGCCTCTGCCTCTGTCGTCGCTCAACGGTGACGCCACAAACGCTGAACAGTGGGAGCCATATTCAGATCATTTGGGGGGAAATTTTATCCTATTATTTAATCAGAATATTATTTTTTTTATTTTGAATTATTAAAAAAATGCCCTTCGGTTTAATTATTGGAAGAGAACTCTAAAACTATTAATTTTGTATACTTGCTAAGTGTATTTTTCAGTTTGCTGAGTTCGAATATAAGTAAATTTAAAATTATTAAAATATTAATCAGGTGCTACATTTTCATATACATTTCATGTACATAGACATTATTGATTTTTAAATGCTAACGAATAGAACGCATGCCACTGTGCCTCATTTTGTGTTCCTCATTTTGGATTTTGTGCGCACGCCGTGCCAGCTAATTTTGGATTTTCTAAGCGAGCCGAGTGAAATATTTTTAGCTCCGCGACTGCGACGCAGCTGCACAGTCGACGCCGGCAGCGACGTCAACATGCAGATTTTTGCAATTGTTTGCCTTATTTGGCCGCTGACGTGATTTTGTTGTTGTTGCCGCTGTGCTTGCTGTATTTTTAGCCAGTTGATTTATCATTCTCATTGCGTTTACGCTGCATTTGTGGCTAATCAGTATTTTGTCTCTCTTCCTCTCGTTGCAGGTGAGTTTCCCCCTTTGCTTGTCCGTGTAAATATGCATATTGTGCAGATAAAACCGTAAGTTAAGCTAAGTATCCGAGTATTAAGGAGTCGCCATTAACTGGAATGTTTGCATCATCGTCGAGTCATTCTGATAAGCCGAAGCTAAGATCACGGGTTACGTATACGCAGTGTTGGACAGCTCAGTGATTGAGTGTGTATAACCCTATTATGAGTGGATTCTCGAAAATCCCACTGACAGCCCAGATAAATAAGATTGTAATGAGTTTAAATCAGTTTTATAATTAGAATATCATTCTATTGGAATTCTGGTTTTATTCTTTCATTTCAGCCTCACTTTATATCTAGTCTGTTTAGAGACCATAATTTTTCTCCCTGCACTGCATAATAATTTTGTCATTTGCGTAAACAAATCAATGTGCGTGTGTCTGTGTGTGTGTCTGTACGTGTGTCTGTGTGTGTGGCTGTGTGTGTGAGTGAGATATTAAAGGCAAAGTCAAGTCTTCGTAACTCGAAGTCTCTGCTCACCCAAGCACTCCCCTTTTGAACTCCAAAGCCATTCGACTTCTTTCTCTTATTATTCCGATTTTCCTATGCCACTGTAGTTGTATTTTTCCCAGCTTTTCCTCAATTTTCCGCCCGCTTTCCCCGTCGCGCGGCTTTGAAGTGTTTACATTTCGCATTTGAATTATCGCCGTTTTATATGCTTCGCTTTGATTTTCTATTCACTTGTTGTTATTGCCCTGTCTGCTTTACTTATTTTAAGCTAATTTTAGTATTTAGCTTTCGTTTGCATTTCGATTCAATTTGGAAAACGGTGGGGCATACGCTGTGGTCTTGGAAAAGACCAAGTGCTGTACTTTTTTATTTTTAATTTCTAATTCGATTTAATTGTTGTTCTTGGCGCTGGCGTTGTTGTTGTGGCTGTTGCCGCATGCAGGCTGTTGTTATTTTTGTTTCGCCTTTTCCGATTTGATTTGTGTTAATGTTAATGCTTGTGTGCTTGGCGCCGTTTGGCTTGGGGGCAAACGTTCTGAACAATAAAAATGTTGAACAAAATGATAGGAAACTGCTTTGACTTTTAAGTATTCCTAAAAATTGTTAGCATGGTCTTCTACGTTTTATGTTTTATATAAGCAAATATGTAAGTTCAGACTAGTAAGGCAACTCCTAGTAACATGTTCTACATATGGGATCAGCTGATAACCAAAGAAAATATCAACAAAAAAAGCTTACTTATGAAATAAATTCGCTCATTTTAGGAGTCTTCAGCAGTTCGCTGTTTCCCATGATCACTTTACATTATGTTGACTAAACTAAGTTTATAGACTTTCCCTCATTGGATCTCGGCGATAAAGTTTAGTTGCATTTTCCCTGGTGTTTTGCTGGCTGTGCTTATCTGCTGTTTATCCGTTCTGCAAGATCACTCAATTTCTCACTCTCTGGGCTGCTGGCTCTCTTTCTCCGACTTCACGCAGTTTGCCTTCGGAGAAGCCGAGTTTTGTTTACCCACTGGCTTGCTGGTGTTGTTGCTGTCGCACTTGAAGCGCAGTTTCTGGCAGCAACAGCATGAGCTACAGTATCTATAGATATATGTAGCGATACCCATACCTATACCTATGTACCCATACCTATGCCCACATGTATACCCGCCGTAGCTCCAACGGCGAGGCATGCGAAGTCCCTTCAAGCGTTTCAACGTACTTTTTTTTTGCTGCGCTTCGGTTTGTTTGATTTGGCTTGCTCACCTTCGGCTCGACAGCAGCAACAACTGCAACAACAACAGTATCGAACGGACGTCGACGGGAGCAGCGACGGAACTGCGACTTCGATGGCGGCGACGGCGGCGGCGGTCTCAACCTGAAATCCAACCTGAAACTCGAAACGAACCCGAGGCTCGTGCTGTTTCATTTGAATGGGCACACGACGGAGTTCGAGTTGGATTGGCCACAGTGTGCCGGCCAAATTGGAAGCCTTTGGTTCCACTTTGCGAAAACTTTTAAATTCGCTTAACCAAATTGACAGCTTTAGGGCCATTTCAACATACGCTTGTATGTAAGTATGTTTCCCTAAAATGTAGACAGTGCAGGAGCTAAATCGTTGGAAATATCTTATTTTGGTTTTAGGCTACCGTCAGGGGGAAAAAAACGCAAAGTCATAAATTTGAAAAAATATATATCGAATCGTTAATATTTAATAGTCTTCCCTTATAAGCTAGACCTTAGAATTAATTGTGAGAAAAGTATAATTTATGTAGTCAACGGAGAACCAATGTTTGGAAGCTGGGGGCCGAGTACTTGTAGCTGTAGTCATTTATCACGGTCTTCTTTTGCAAATACCTTGGCTCAAAGGACCTCATTCCCATGTCTCCCTCTGTCTCTTGCCGTCTCCCTCATCCCTCATCCCGCTTCCACTTGATCCTGTACTGTGCATAGGCCATAAATATCGTATTAAATATTTGCCTTAGTATCGCCTGCGATGTCGGCGTTTCGCGTTTGCATTAACGCCGAATGTTGTCTGTTTATCTCGCTAGTTATTGTTCACTGTCCATAGGTGGTGTTTTGCCATTTTCGAAGGGGGGTGCTCGTGTGTCCATGGGCTGTGGAGGAGAGGGGGGTAAGGGGGGAGGAGGGTTTCGCCTATGGTTTGGTGGTTGCAAACTTTTGTGGCATTGCCAGTTGATTGGATTGCCATGAGATGAACTTGGCGTCGCATGTGGATGTGTGCGTGTGTGAATGAGTGTGGCAAGTGATTTATGAGTCCCCAGTGCTGATATGGGATACGCTATATACTACGGATATACAATAGATACAATGTCATTAGCGCTCTCCCCGATACACTGTTCCTGTTTATGCTGAAAACTCCCTCTTTCTATCGTCAATCACTGGCGATATCACAAACTGGCGATATCATTTACACCCAGCATTATAGCATTCAATTTGAGCACGATTTGCGTATGTTAGCTTTATTTAAGGTCCACTGTACTGCATAGGAAACTCTTAACTCTAATCCAGGAGCTTCCGACATTCCTGTAACGAACACTGACAAAAATCAACAAAATTTTAACAAGTTTCCCTCTCGATCAACATTAAGTTGGGGTTATTTCTGGAAAAGACAAAGCGAACTTAAAACGATGCAGCCAGCGGACCAGATCTTCTCCTGCGGATTCGAGCTCTTTGGGCGAGTACAGGGTGTGTGTTTGCGGAAGCAGACCCGAGATCTGGCCACAATGAACCAGGTGCGCGGGTGGGTGATGAACACGGACGAGGGCACGGTGAAGGGTCAGCTGGAGGGCACCCTGCCCAAGGTCAACGAGCTGAAGTTCTGGCTTCTGAATTTCGGCAGTCCGCGGTCGATTATCGAGCGGGCAGAGTTCACGCCCACCAAGGAGATCACTTCGCGCAACTTTAGCCGCTTCTCGATTCGCTACCACAACGTTTCATCCCCGAAATTGTGACTGTGTATTTGCTGTAACTGTTTGTTTGGACCTTTAAATTGAGCTGCCTACGATGTGCTTCTACGAACATCATTTATAAACCTCTAAAATGAAAAACAGGCTGCCAGCCACTAATTAAGCCGCACAAAGAAATGCTCAGCGCAATTACATGGAGGCTGGCACATCCACTATGTACTTATTTTTATATATCTACAAAAGTAAATATATATACATATGTATGTCTATGTGAGATGACTTGGTTAGACAGACACCTGCAGCTTGAGCTTCAGCTTCAGCTTCAGCTTCAGTTTAGCTTCGGCTTGGCCACATTTCCAGTTGAGCGACGCCCCAAACTGGCAATGAGTTTTTACGGCACACAAACAGCAGCCAACAGCCAACAGCCAACAGCCGTGAGTCGAGGCAACAGACAATACTGGGCATACGGAATATCTAGAATAACAACAGAGAGCCACAAATATTTATCGCAGTGCGCTGAACAAGAGTATTTCGATTGAAGGTGAAAATCTGGAAATATCGTGACTTCCCAAGGCGGAAGGGAGTTTGAAGTTACTTAAATTTCATTTGTATCTGTTAAAGCGGCTATGGGGAATAGTACCGTTAATACCGCTAGCACAACGCAAATTTTTGAGCATATTTAAAAGTATGCCTTGTTTAATAACTGCCTATTTTGTTAGGGATTTTAGTGTTGAATAGTATAAGATTTCCAGTGATTACGTGTTGGAAAGTTCACTGTATTGTCTCAGAATTTCATAACTGACCGTTACTGCTGCTTTGCAAAGCAAGTAATTTAGTTTCTAATTGGTATATAGAATTTGATGCTGCTCAAAACACAAATTATTGTTATAATCCCGAGTGGCTGTAAATCAGAATCGGGCTAAAATCGAAGTGCCACATGTACGTCTTATCACATTTTCGAGCTGTCCAAGTGTATCGCAACTTGGAGCGATAATTCAGTTGCCCAGCGTCAGGCTGTTGGCGCTGTAGCCGTTGTTGGGCCCCCAAATGCCCTCCATGGGTCGCTGACTACCACGACGCCACTGCTCGCGCGATGTCGATGGCGATGGCGTCACTGCCGGCGTCTCTCCCGCCGAAGCACTGCGCATAATCACAACAAAATCAAACAAATGAACGGCACTGACACAGCGGCAACACCAACGCCAGCAACAGCAACAGCAGCTCCAGCACCAGCAACATTAACATCAACGCAGCAACAGCAGGAGCAGCAGCAGCAGTAGCAGCCGCAGCAGCAACATCACCGCAACAGCAACAGCTTCGAGTCGCGTGTGTGCGTGCATGTGAGGTTGTGTTGGCAACTTCGTTGCGTGTGTAACAGGCGCCCAGATTTTCCGAGAGAGCTGAAAAAGAACATTTCCACATGCGGAGTGGCGGTGGAGTGTTCCCATTTGTGGATGTTGGGTTTGCGGAATTTTTATAGGTTAAGCTGTAAGCGCGGGGGGTGGAGCGGGAAGCGGGCAGCGGGGAGGCGTGGCAGAGGCTGGGGCGAGCGAAGAGGGTTGCTGGTGTGGCCTTAACTAGTTTCAGCCGGCCGGTGTCGTTGCCTTGTAAACGAGCGCAAAAATGCGAGATAAAGAGCGGTTCGCACGACTCAGCCGACTCACTCAACTCACTTGGATTTTTGTGAGTGATTCCTGCGTGCCCCAAACCCAAAACCTTTGAATTTTCCCAACACCCCCCTCGTGTAGCACCATCTTAAATTCCTTTGCGCATTCCTACGACGTTGACGTCGCTGCCTGTTTCCGGTGTCACTTCCTTATTTAGTTGTTCATATTGTTTGTTGTATGTGTGTGTGTGTTGTTGTTGCCTGGCTTTTGGGTAGGCTTTCGCTGGATTTCGTCCTTGTAGGCTCAACCCAATTTAACAGCCATCAGAAACTGGCAGCGAATTCAATTTGCCTGAAAGCCAGGCCACCCAAACACAAAACAGGAAATAAATAAATATATAAAGAGAAGAGAAGCGAAGCGAAGAAAACAGAAACGATGATCATTAGTTGGATTATTATTAGTCTATTAGTGGTAATCAAATTTATGGCACAAATACAAATTGAGGGAAAACTTTCATGACGCCAAAATGGAAATTGAAAACACCGATTGTGGCAGCGGCGTGCTGTGGTGAGGGGCGGGGGGTGGGGTAAGACAGGTTGTCGCGGCATACATAAATGCAAACACTTTGTGCAAATATTTGTGTCATTAAACAAATGACAAACGAATTGGTTTCAACATGAAAGCCAAGAGAGAGCGACAGAGTGAGAGAGAGAGAGAGCAGCTGACATGCAACATGCTAACAGCAGCAGCTTATCAACCGACTGTTATGGCTAACAGCGACATCCCCGCAGCAACACCCATACCAGCAGCCACCCACTCGCACACAGATACTCACTCACTGCGGCGCTGCAACAATGCAAAAAGCAAACTTTCTCGCTGCCCGCGTCGCAGCTGGCGTCGTGTTGCTGCCGCTGCTGGCGCTGCCAGCGTCGCTCGCGCCGCTCGAAGTCGCTTCGTTTGGTTTCGCTGACAGCGGCTCGTGCCAGTACTCAACCGACTGCCAAACGGCGCACGACAAACCAGCAGCAGCAGCAGCAAAAGCAGCAGCTGAGGCAACAGCAACAGCAGCAACAGCAACACGACGCCAGCAGCAGTAACAGCCGCACGGCAGAAACAGCAACACTAGCCAAAGAAAAGCTGAGCGCTTCTTTTTTGTTTGCGGTTCGTTCCCTCAGCGATAAAAACACAACAACAACAGCAACAGCAACATCAACAACAAAAGCAACATCAGCGACTACGGCAACATAAGAAATGAAAACAAATTAAAATGAAATACTAAAAAATGCACTTAAACTTAATGAAGAAATAAAGTGTACGAGTGCTAAAAACGTTGGTGTTTGAAATGTGAAAAGCGAAAATAAACAATTTAGTGTCAAACAGAAAGAGTTACAGCACTTTTCAAGCGCAAAGATGAAAGAAAAACATAAACAAATATATTGTACAAATTGAAAAAAGCACCAACAAACATAAAGAAGTAAATCTGCTGTGATCAAAATCAGCTGTGATTATGTGGGAAAAAAAACCTTTTCTTTTGTGCTCATGGAATTTTATTCATTTTATTTACGAGATCTTCTGCTAAATTCCTGTGTGCTTTCTAGCAATTATTTAACTCAACCCCTTGTACTGTTTATTTATTTGACATTTTATTCGCTTCTTCGTGTCTGGTTCTTGGATGGGAAATTGTGCATAGCAAATGCAAATTTATTAGGTGCAGACTTCGTAAGACTCACGTAAGACGCAAAATGGCAGAAATTAAAAATCATAAATCAAAAGTGCTAAATAAATCAGGAGGAAAATTGAGCAAAACAAAAAGTGTGCGTGTGTCTGCTTTTTTTTTGTTTTGTGTTTTTTTTTTTTTTGCCACTCTGGCTCAATGGAAACCATTAATTACATTGCAGTAAATCCTTTTGGGAATTTGTACGCTCTGCATAATTTTTGTTTTCATAAATTATAAACTTTTATGTTTGGTGCTTAGTTGCTAGCTGAAATATCAAAGAAAACATTTTTGGCCAACATAAATTTCCGTTTGATTTCTTCGCGTGGCTGACTGAGTGTGTGTGTGTGCGAGCGTGTGTGTGTGCGTGCCTCCGTGTGTGTTACGCATATTGCTTAGACAAGTGGCCAAGAAGCGTATGGGAAATGAGGGAGGGGGGTTGGGGTGGAGCAGGAGGAAGTGCAGATCTGAGCGAGCAATTGGTCGTTTGTTATGCCCTCACCAAAAAGTGGGGCATGCTCACAATGCCATGAAGTAGAACACGTTTGGAATTGTGCATATATTTGTATCTGTATCTGCACTTACGTATTCATAAAGATGTGCATACACTAATGGCCATCTGTGCCTCAGCTTGTGTGCCCTGCATTGGGGGAAACAATTGGGCTGATTAACGGTTTTTAATTATGCAAATTTCGATGGTTAGCTATTTATTTATTTATGGGTATTTAGATACACACCTGCAGGTACATTTCGGTAATTGTTTCGCTTTTCAACAGTTTTCCTTAACGGATTTATGGTTGCGCACAATTCCATAACTATTTCATTAAGTATTTCTCGTTTTAATTGTTTAAATATTGGGATTGTAGCAACAAAATGGCGCATTTAACTAATGGGTATATTTAAAGGGTATTCCAGAGTTAACTCTGCTCCAGAAAAGCTCCACGCTTTTGTCTCTTGGTGTATAATTGAATAGTGAGAGACAACAGCATCTAGGAATTCTTGGGCCAAGCAACAGCAATAGTAATAGCAACAATTGCCTTTGAGCGAGCAACAAGCTAACTTAAACCGAAGCGAGAAATCTGGCTTAGCCTTTTGGCGTTGCGGAAATTGATGCTGCCTCTGCCGCAGTCGCAGTCGCTGTCGACGTCGGCGTCGCTGCGTTGCGACTACATTAATCTTACTTTTATTGCTCTCTCTGTTGTTACTGCTGTTTAATTAATTTTTGGTAAACATAATTTCCCATTGGGCATTGTGCGCCAGCTCAGTTAAATGAGTTGAATAATGATTTATAATTCACTTCACGCTTTTCTCGCGATTTTCATCTTTCCTTCGCCACTGCCGCCCACATTTAATAATTTTAATAATTCGCAAAAAAATTAATAGTATGCAAAAATAATGCGAGTAAGTAAAGTGCGATTGCCAGGGGCGAAGGACGAGGGAGGGGGCTGCAAGAGTAGGACGCTAAACAAGGCCATAATATTACGCATACGCCATGTGTGTCTGAAAAATATGGGGTAAGAAATGGTTAAAATAGCAAGGAATTAATTGGAGGCGTTCGTTTTCAGGGGGTGGTGTAAAAAAAAATGGGGGCAATGAGCGGCTTTCTGTTATGGCTGACACTTGAGCGAACGTTTTAAGTTACACTTTTAATTAATTGTTCTGAATAAATGATGGCGCGCAGGCAAAGAAGAAAACGCGCAAGAACAGTGGAACTGAAAAAAAAAGAAAAAAATAACGGTTGACAAAGAGCCAGGGGAAAACTATTTGCATATCTCATTTAAATTGCATGTAAATTGGAATTCGAACTTGGATTTTCTGTCTTAAACTCAACTTCGACAAAGTGCCATTTTCTGATTTTCCATTTTACACAGAGGATTCATAAGATTAAGAATAATAAAATGCTTATATATTGGATATTGGAATA